TGGCATCGATCAACTTGATTTGCGCCGCCCGCCCCTCTGGCCAAGGCCCTCTTGGTACTGTCCGCAGAGCCCCGCATGCAGCCCCACAAGCTTAGCGTCGGTGAGCCGGCGTGTAGGGACGCTTGGGGGCGCAGCAGCCGAGCGCTGCTTGGGCGGCGGACCCTCCGCACAAGCGGGTCCGCACGGCGAAGCGTCCATACGAGCCGCCGGAAGGGCCGCCGCCAAAGCACCGCTCGGCTGCTGCGCCCCCAAGCGTCCCTACACGCCGGCTCACCGACGCCGAGCTTGTCGGGCTGCCTGCCGGGCTCTGCGGCCAGTACCAACAGGGCCTCTGCCACAAGGGCGGCAAGTGCAAGTGGAGGCACGAGCTATGGCCAGGGCTTCAGGAGCGGCTCCGCACGGCGAAGCGCCCGCTCGAGCCGTTCGAAGGGCCGCCGCCAAAGCGGCGCTCGGATGCGGCGCGTGGCCCTCCGTCCTCCGCCGCCGCCGCCGCCGCCGCCGATAGCGCGCCGCCCAACGCGCCCGCCGAGGCCGCGGTCCTGCTCTGCGGCAACACGCACGAGTGCGACGGAGGCGCCTTTGGCTGCATTCTGCCGGCAGGCCACGGCGGGCCGCACGATTTTACGCTGCCGGCCAAGCGGGCTCGCTGCGAGAAGCGCCCGTTCGACCCGGCGACGCCCGCCTTCCAGACCGCCGCCCCCGCCGCCCCCACCGCCCCCGCCGCCCCCGCCGCCCCCGCCGCCCCCGCCGCCACTTGCTGCGAGTGCGGCACTTTGCTCGACGATGAGGCGGGCGAGGTGATGGCGCCCTCCGTCGGGTGCGACGCCGGTGGCTGCTCGCGCTGGGCTTGCCTGGCGTGCGCCGGCTTCAGGAGCGAGGCGGAGGCGGGGCGCAAGACGTGGTTCTGCACGCTTCACGCGCCGGCGGTGGTGGTGGTGGCGGAGGCGGAGGGCATGCGCTTGCACCTCTCCAGCAGCAGCAGCACCGGGTACAGGGGCGTATCGAAGAATTCTGGCGGCTTCCGAGCGCAGCGCAAGGTGGACGATAGGCCTAGACACATCGGCACTTTCGGCACGGCGGTGGAGGCGGCGGTGGCGTATGCGCGGGCGGTCGGCGAGGAGGGGCCGGCGCCACCGCCGCGCCCCGCGAAGCGCCCGCGCGAGTCTGCCGCTGCGCCCGCGCAAGAGCCCACCGCCCCTTCCTCCGCTCCCGCCGCCGCCGCCGCCGCCGCCGCCTCCCCCTTTGCCCCTGCCGCGCCATCCCTGCCTCCGAGCCGCCTGTTCGAGCTCCTGCCCGACGGGCGCACCGTCCACAAGGAGGCGCCTCCCGACAATGGCGGCATGGCGGCCGTCGCCGAGGCGCTCGGGCGCATCGGGCTGCAGTCCTACGCTGCCGCGTTTGACTCCGAGGGCTACGACGACATCGAGTTTCTGCTCGGGCTGGACAGCGCCGAGCGGGCAGCCGTGGCGACGGCGACGGGCATGGACGCGAAGCCGGGGCACGCGGGGAAGTGGGTCAAGTTCGGCTTCGGGGAGCCCTGACACACACCTATACGCGTTCCCTGGCGTGCCTCCCTTGAGCTTGATTGTTGTCTAAGTCTATAGGTGACATTCGATTTGTGTTGTTTGTTCTGACTGAGCCGGCGTTCTCTCATGTCTCTGTGTACCTAGCTCGGTTCGTGTTAGCCGGTGGGTGTTTGCTTTGTCTGTCTGGGTGCCCCACGGACAGTAAAGAAAGAAAAGAAAGAAAGCAAACCCAAGGGAGGGTAGCGCCGGAGAGGACGAGCGCGCCAGGCATTCTTTTTGTCCCGCGTGTAAAATTCTTTTTGTGGACAATGGCGGCGTCGAGCGCCTCCGCGATGACGGACGTCGTGAAGACGGCGGAGGAGAGCTGCTGCTCGCGATGGGCGACTAGGGGGACTACACGCCCGCGATTCCCGAGGAGGTGACCGCGCACTTCTTGGCGCAGTCGGGCTTCCAGGCGACGGACGAGCGGCTTGTGCGGCTCGTGTCAGATGATCTCTCCGAGAAGAGTCGGAGGGACCTTGGCGCCGGGATCACGAGGAACTTGCAAGTCGTGGCCGAGGCGGCGACGGGAGCGGTGCAGAGGTGGATCCAGCTCAATGATGAGGCTACGGCGCGCATAATGAAGAGAGAGGAACACATCGAGTGGCTGAGGAAGCTCTTCGCTGGGTGGAAGGAGGCCCGGCCGGCCTTGAGGGAGTCGCGGAGGAGGAGGGATAACGCAGGCAACGCAGGGACGGGCCAACAGCCAGTGGGACGAACGAGGGCCGCGACGGCGGCTCAAGCGGGAGGGAGCGGAGACAGTGGGCAGCGAGCGAAGTGGGTGAGAGATGATGCTCCTTCTTAGGGAGCGGTTCAGCTGCTGGGCGGGCTTCAGGGTGGTGCTCACGCGAAAAGGAATCGACGCGATGTACAAAGCATACAAGAAGAGGAGAGAGAAGGGGAGGGGCACCAGTGATGACAAAACAGAACCTAGTGCAGACGAGAGCAGGGCAGACCCGGGGACTGGGGAGCCGGAGCAGACGGCATCGGCCGCCGAGGGAACGTTGGGAAGAGGCACGAGGAGGGCGGCGACCTCAACCGGCTATGGACGACCTGTCACCAGACGACGCAGGGCAGACGATGGTGAGGCGGAGCAGACGCGCAGGGCGAGACGAGGGAGGGAGCAGGACGTTGCTTCGTTGCGGAGATCAGCAGGAGGATGTACGAAAAGATTAGGAGCAGCAGGGACCCGAGGGACAATGTGGAAGACGGCTAGTGCTAGAAGTCCCCGCCACCGGGAGACAGGACGACCCCTGCTAGTCGCCAACCACACCCACAAAGAACCCTGCACAAAGATCGCACGGGCCGTGTTCCTTTCTACCCATCTCACAGTAGGGAGGTGTCCGTTTTTATTTATTTATTTCGTATTTTACTTTTTAGGGTGGTAAGCCTACACTCCAAGTGCTCCATGTCCTACCAAGTGCCTGCGCGTTTTGGGAGAGATAGATCCACATACATAATGACAGTATGTAAAAGGTGTGCGCAAGAGGATCCGCCAACTGGCCAACCATGCAAGGAATCGCGCCGCGCGCAGTGCGACGCACACCTAGCGCGCAGCGGCAGCGCGCGCCAGTCCCGTCCACCCGGAAAAACGCTCGAAACGTTAAGCCCCAAAGGAGTTGAGGGCGTCTCAGTCCCAATCTACGCTCAAATCCGCGTCCCACCACCAGCCCTTCCCGCGAGCCAGGGTGCCCGCTGGGAAATCGCGGTCAAACGGCCTCACACTGCGCTTGCCGTTGCACTCGTTCCCGTCGTCGAGATGTGGCTGCCCGAGATTGTGGAACAAGCGCACCCAGCCGTGGCGCATAAAATCGGTGTTGCGGCGCCACGGCAGGTACCTGTTGTCGCGCTGCGTCCTCGCCTCGTCCGTGAGATCGCGTGCTCCAAACAGCTCCTCGATCGGCTTGCCCTCTTCTCGAAGCTCCTGGACCGAGCGCTCGCGCAGCCAGGCCGGCACGTAGCACGTGAAGAAGTCGTGATCGGGGTGGTCCTCGCAGTGGATGGTGCCGTTTCTCTCCTCGTCCTCGTACGTGAGCACCGCCACCCGCGGTGAAGTGCTGCTGGACTCGTCGGCCGCTCTGTCCACCACCCAACGGTCGAGGAGCGCCTCGTAGTCAATCTCCTCGTCGTCGAAGCAGCAGCCGAGGGAGAGGTCGATGTCGCGCAGCCGTCTTGCGCCGCGCAGGAACGCGGCGAGGCCGGTGGCGGAGTAGCCGCAGTGGACAAAGTGCACGCGCGCGAGCTGAGCGCAGCCGCGGGCAAAGGTCTCGAGAGCGTGCGTCTGCAGATTCAGGCCGTGGATGGCGAGAGAGGTCAGGTTCGGCGCCTGCTTGCTGAGCGACACCAGCGAGGGCGAGAAATCTCGGTACGTCATCACCATCGACAGGTCGAGGTGGCGGAGGCCCTCGCAGCAGGTGGCCAGCGTCTCAACCTCCTCAAACGAGACGCCGCCGCGCACGTTTGCGTAGCCGATGTCGAGGCCGGTGAGCGTGGGGAAGCAGCCGCCCAGCAGCGAGAGCGTGTTCTTGTGCCACGGCTCGGAGTGCGCGTCAGCCCAGGCGCCGCTGGGCCGCTCCAAGCCGAGGCGCAGCAGCTGAAGCACGGGGAGGTCGAGGCAGACCAGAGCGGGCAGCACGATCGGGCCAAGCCCAGTGAGGTCGAGGTGGGTCAGCGTCTGCTGGCAGCCAACGGCGCACATCATGAAGATCGAGGTGACTGAATCACGGGCCTCGCGTGTGCGGCGCCCTCGCACGTGCGGCGCGTAGGGGATGAAGCCTCCGCCGGAATCTTCGGACGGCTCATCGCTGAGCGCCTCGCAGGTGATGGCGAGGTGTGTCAGTCGCGTCTGCATAACGATCCACGGCTCGGGGCCGCGCTTCGCCGGTGGACGCCGCTCGGCCAGCCAGGAGGCGACCTTGTCAAGGCGGTCGATGCCGTTGCCGGCCCTCGCGGTGGTGACGACGCCGTCGGAGCTCGCGAGCGCGGTGGCGGCGATCGTCCGTCTCGAATCGGCGGGGCCGATCGCTGTGGGCGAGCCCCTCACCTCGTGAGGGATTGGGCTGAGATCCACCCGCAGCACCCGACAGCGGGGAAGCAGGCCCGTGAGTCGTGGCAGAATGCTTTGCGCACGCGACGCGTCCCGTGTGACACTGAGGGCGTCATTGATGTGCACCTTAGCACCAACGAGGAAGGCGGAGTCGTGCATCGCCGGGAGGAAGCACACACGCGGGACGGTGGTACCGCGGGATGACAGGGACGCCTCGGGGCCGGGAAGGAGGCACACGCCCAAATGGGTGATGTGCTGCGTGCATCGCTGAAGGAGCTGGCGATGCGCGGTGCACGTCGCCGTGCACCGCGGCAGGCAGTGGAGCGGCACGCGCCCGAGCACGAGCACCCAAAGGTCTGCGTTGGAGTGGACACTGGTGAAGCACGTGAGTGCGTCAGCGTCGTCGGCGTCGGGCATGTCTGCTCTGGCCGCAGTCGCTCCCACAGCTGCTCGGTGTGGGAAGAGAGCAGCAGACGAGAGCGGCTCTGAGCTTCGTACTGGGAGCAGCGCGAACCGGGCCACAGCACCTAACCCGCCGCGTGGCAAAATTCTTTTTTCCTCGTCGAAGCAGGGGTCCTCCCAAGAGTGAACCACACAAACTTGCGAAGGGCAGGCCAATGCTGCTGCTGCTACTACGCGCGATATTCTTTTTCTCGCGATGTCTGCCCCGCGCCGCCGCTCGCGCCGCCTCGCCGCCCCCTCCACCGCCGCTCCCTCGCCAGACACGCCGCCGCCCATCCGCCTCCTCGACCTCCCCAGAGAGCTCCTCGTGCGCGCCCTCTCTCACTGCGATCCCGCCGACATCGCTTGCGTCGCGGCCGTCTCGCTGCTCTTCCACGCCTCGCTTGCGGTGGAGGCCATCCGCTTGTGGGCGCAAGAGCGCGGCTTCGAGCTGCCGGCGCTGCCAGAGGGTGAGAGCTGTGCCGTGCGGTGGCTGTGCTTTTTCGCGCTGCTGCGCGAGTCCAACCCGCCGGCGAGGGCGGCGGCAGGCGATCGGCACAGCCTCTTCATTGACGGCGAGGGGCGGCTCTCGTCGTGCGGCGGCGAGGGGGGCCCCAGCCCTGCGCCGACCGTCGACCCACCGGTACTCGGCCACGGTGAGGGCGTGACGCGGCTGAACACACCCACGCGCCTCCCGTCGTTGGGCGGCGAGCGTGCCGTGAGTGTGTCGGCTGGACTACACGACAGCTTCGCCCTCACCGCCAGCGGCGCTGTCTGGAGCTGGGGCTGGGGAGGCTACGGCCGGTTGGGCCACGGCGATGAGCAGGACCAGCCGTGGCCGAAGAAGGTCGAAGCCTTGGCGGGTGGCGTCGTCGCCGTGTCGGCTGGAGGCAGCCACAGTCTCGCCCTCACCGCCGACGGAGCCGTCTGGAGCTGGGGCTGGGGAAGGTTTGGCAAGCTAGGCCACGGCGACGAGCAGAACCAGCCGCTCCCAAAGAAGGTCGAGGCCTTTGCTGGCCAGCGCGTCGTCACCGTGTCGGCGGGAGAGGGCCACAGCCTCGCAATCACCTCCGATGGCGCCGTCTGGAGCTGGGGCCATAGAGCCTTTGGCATTCTGGGCCACGGCGACCTGCAGCACCAGCTGCTGCCCAAGAAGGTCGAGGCCTTGGCGGACAAGCGCGCCGTTGCTGTGTCGGCTGGCGCCGCGCACAGCCTCGCCCTCACCGCTGACGGCGCTGTCTGGAGCTGGGGCATGGGACTCTTTGGCCAGCTGGGCCACGGCGACGAGCAGGGCCAGCTGCTGCCGAAGAAGGTCGAGGCCTTTGCTGGCCAGCGCGTCGTCGCCGTGTCGGCTGGACGCCAGCACAGCCTCGCCCTCACCGCCGACGGCGCTGTCTGGAGCTGGGGCATGGGACTCTTTGGCCAGCTGGGCCACGGCGACGAGCAGCGCCAGCTGCTGCCCAAGAAGGTCGAGGCTTTTGCTGGGCGGCGCGTCGTCGCTGTCTCGGCTGGAGTTAACCACAGCCTCGCCATCACCGCCGACGGCGCCGTCTTTGCTTGGGGCGAGGGCGGCAGCGGCCGCCTAGGCCATGGAGAGGACCTGTCGAACCAGCTGCGCCAGCTGCGGCCAAAGAAGATCAAGCTGTGGGCGCCGGGGCAGTGAGGTATCGGGGGCTCTGTGCGCCGGCCGGGCGTTTAGTGGCTCAGTGCACAGACTGAGGAGCTTGTTGAAGCCAGCCCGCGCGGTCCGAGGTTGCCTCTCTCTCAAGCGTCAAGGAGCTCCGGAAAAGTTATCCCGGGTGCCCTCCCAGCGCATAGTCCAGCCGATCTGTGTGCCATATATGCCGGCACCTCATCAGGCTCTCCTCGCCCTCGCATCCGCCGCCGCCGCCTCCGCTCGGCTCGCCATCGAACCGATCCGCCCGCCCGACAAGCGGCTTTCCTTTGGCGCCGTCGTGCGCGGTCTCAGCCTGAGAGCGCCTCTTTCGGAGGCTGAGCTCGCAGAACTGGACGCGGCCTTGTCGGAGCACGGCCTGCTCCTCCTCGAGAGCGCGGCTCCGCCGGACCTCGAGCCTCGCGCCTTCTCCGACCTCGTGCGCCGCCTCAACCCTGGCGCCGAGACGGTGTGAGTCCCAGTCGCTCTCACACACCTCATATCAGCAGCACACGCGGTGGTGTGTGCGGCTTCAGGTGTGGCGAGACCAGCGCACGAACCCGTGGGAGCGGCACAAGGCGGAGCACTTGGGGCCCGCCGGGACCTTTCAGCTTCCGACCTGCCCGGAGGTCCGCGTTGGCCAGAACGCGCTACTCATCACCCACTCGCTCATCGCCCATCCGTTCATCAACCCAGGTCCTCGTCCTCGGCAAGGGCGAGTACCGCGACCACTTCGGCCTCACCTGCTCGCTCGGCGGGGCGAGGAGAGCCTACGGCTCGAACGGGTCGCAGGTCATCTCCGGTCATCTCGGGTCATCTCGGGTTATCTCGGGTCATCTCGGATCGATCTTCCCAGAGGCCGGTCCACGAGATCTCAATCTCGTCCACGAGGTTGCTCGGGCTCAGGAGCTCTTCTGCCACAAGGACGTGTTGTTTGGGACTTCTCACAGGTCATCGGCGGCGGGAAGCTGCAGTGGCACATCGACGGAGCCTTCTGGAAGGCGCCGGCCTCGCGCGAATCAAGTCATAAATTCGTCGACTGCTGTGCAGCCTTCGAAAAGCCGCCGGCCTTCAGTTTAATTACGGTGGAGCCTTCTGGAAGGCGCCGGCTTCGCGCGCGAGCGGGCTGCCCTGCGGCGTGGTTGGCATGCGGTGTGTCGAGGCGCCCTCGCCGCCGCGCGAGTGCGAGGCGGACTATGGCGACGGGGCGACGCTGTCGTGTGCCGCGGGCTCGACAGCGTTCTGCTCAGGAGCGGTCGCTTGTGAGCCCGAGATCACCCGAGGTCACTCGACATCACTCGAGGTCACCCGAGGTCACCCGAGGTCACCCGAGGTCACCCGAGGTCACCCGAGGTCACCCGAGGTCAGGAGCGGTCGCCTTTGAGCTTCTCACCGAGCAGGAGCAGGACACGGCGCTGAGGACGACAGTCGTGTATGCGGCGCACCCCTTCAAGCGCTTCGCGGGGTGCGGCATGTAGTTCGTGAGTGCTCGTTCTCCATCATCAATCATGTCTAGCGGGCTGGCGTGACGCGCCGAGCCCCTCCAAGCGTCCTCCGCCCCGATTACCGCCTGCATCGTACCCCAGATCAGCCCGAGATCAGCCCGAGATCAGCCCGAGATAAGCCCCAGATCAGCCCGAGATCAGCCCGAGATCAGCCCGAGATCAGCCCCAGATCAGCCCGAGATCAGCCCGAGATCAGCCCGAGATCAGCCCGAGATCAGCCGAGACTAGGTGCGGCATGACGCGCGACGGCTTGCGCTGCGTCGGAGGCGTCGAGGTCGAGTGTACGATCGGCGACAACGAGCGATCGGGGCGGCTCCTCTTGTCGCGGGGGGAGGGCCTACCCCCGAGATGACCCGAGATGACCCGAGATGACACACGCGAGGATAGGCAGCTCCGGCTTCCGCTGGTATGGAGGCACCCGACTAGCGGGAGGCCGGCGCTGATGCCGCACACGCGCTGCCTCGAGGCGGTCGAGATTGCGTCGTCTGACGGCGCTGCGCCGCCGGCCGTACTCGGCACCGAGGAGGCTGCGCAGAAAAGAAAAACAGACAGGACGGACACGCCAGGCGAGGGATGGGAGAGTCCCCACCTGCACGAGCAGGCTTCTTGGGAAGGAGGACCAGGGCGGCACACGTAGCGGGAGCGGGCAGCACACGACGGCTGCATGGGCGCGGCACTAGGCGCGCAGCTGGCTTCACGCCCTCACGCGGCGCGCCGTCGCGCCGCCCCCTCCTTCCTTCGGTGGCCCGAGAGGAGACGCGAGATGAGCCGAGGATAGGCGCGCCGTCGCCCCGCCCCTCGTCCTCCCTCTTGCGTGGAGAGCGGGCGACTGTGCTCTGTGGGACAACCGAGCCGTGTGGCACTCAGCGACGGGTGGGGGTCGTCGGCGAGCGGGAGCGGCGCTACCGAAAGAGTCATTCAACGAGTCGTTCCGTGTGTGTGTGCAGGCTTGCCGAGCGGCGGCAGCGTCCCCCCCCCCCGAGATGAGCCGAGATGAGCCGAGATTGCCCGAGTGTAGGCGGGCTCGCCGAGCAGGAGAGCGGCGGCGGATGCACCTGGTCGCTCGCCTCATCTCGGGGTCATCTCGGGCCATCTCGGGTCATCTCGGGTCATCTCGGGTCATCTCGAGTCGAGCAGGAGCGGCGGCTCATGCACTTGGTCGCCTTTGACGGCACGGCGCCGCCGCTGCCCGCGACACCGCGCGGAGGGCCGCTCTCCCGCTCACCGCCGCCGTCGGTGGTTGGCCTCGTCATCGGCCAGACGCCGCGCGACGACCTCGCCGCGCCGCTCCGCCGCGCTGCCGCCGCCGGAGCTGCGCGCTCTGGCGGCGCGGCCGCCATCGCCTTGGCGGTGAGGGGCGCATTGGACGGAGTGTGCGAGGGAGCCCTCCCCCTCACGCCGCCTCCTCCGCAGCCTCCGCTGGGCCTGCCGCCCTCTCCCGTCGACGCTTCCGACTGCCCTCTCATCACGCGGCTGGGCGACGGCACACTGGGGACCGTGCGAGGCGGCGTCGAGATTTCGCGAGATGAGGCCCAGATCGGCCGAGGCTAGGCACGCCGGTGACCGTGAGCGAGGCGGCGCTGACGCCGCTGCTGCAGCGGCAGCTGGACGCGCACGCAGCGGCGCTGGGGGGCCGCGGCGCGCCTTGCGTGGCCGTGCTGCTCTGCGCCGGCCGCTTCGACGGCCTTCGCTCGCCCTCGGAGCGGATCACCCTCCTGCGCCCCTTCGCGGCGGCCGCCGACGCGGCGGCGCGGCGCAGCGTGCGGGACGCCTAATTAATAGTTCATTAATAGTGAATGAAAAGTTAATTAGGCGCGGCTCGGCGTGCGGGACGCCTTGCTGTGCGTCCCCACCGCCGACCAGCAGCCGTACGCTCTCGCGCGGTGGCGGCCGGAACTGCCGGCGGCGGCGGCGATCGCGACGTGCGTCTTGCCCGAGGAGCCGGGGGAGGCTGAGCTACAGCAGGCGGCCGCCGCCGCTCGGGCGCTTCCCGCCGAGGCGGCCATCGTCCTCGATTTTGTGGGGCATGGCGCGTCGGTGACGAGGAGGATGAGAGAGCTGGCGCCCGGCCGCGTCGTGGTCGACGTCGGTGGCGAGGCGCTGGCGGCGGTCGAGGGGCTGCTTGCGGGCGAGCTTCGGGCATGCTCGTAAGAGCCACATACACCCTGCATACACCAAAAAGATCCGTGTAAACTTGGAGCACTTGGAGTGCAGTCAGTAATTGCACATCCAGGGCCGGGTAAATTGGAGCACTTGGAGCACTGCACTTGGAGTGCGGTCATCAGCCGCACGCCCAGGACCGGGGCGAGCGGTTATTTTATGACCGCGCAAAAGACAAAGGGTGGCTAAGGGCTCTGCCCGCAAGGCGCCCGCGTCGCCGACGCGGTACCATTGACTCATCCCGGAATACACACCCTCACCCACACGACCAAATAGCGAAAATCCGAATACCGTGCCAAAACCACGGAATGGGAGACGAAGAACGTCGGGGCAAGTTTGGCAAACGCTAAACCTGGGCGATCCGGCGCTTCCTTCGATTGGACGGACGAAATAGTGCGGTGTGGCTCTCCAGACGCAGAGAGCTACACGGCTCTTTTCACTTTTGTACACGTCTAACGGTCTGAGACTGAGTCAGAGGCTCTGTGCGGTGTTAAGGTAAGGTAAGGTAAGGTAAACTTCTCCACACACACGAGGTGGTGGGGCAAGGGGGGGCAACCCTCGCGTCTGAGAGAGAGAGAGAGAGAGAGAGAGAGAGGCGAGCTTCAGGCACGCTCATCTCGATCGTCAAGGCGTCGCTACGCGCGGTCTTCCGCGGGGGGAGCTTCGCCGACGGGTGCGGGACCGCGGCGCAGCCAGTGCCGCGGCGAGGCCTCCGGCTGTTTGCGGCGGGCGGCTTGCTGCTCGCTGCATGGCGAAAAACTCGTCTCGCCACACGCCAAGGGCTTATGCTCTGGCGAGACGTGAGGCGCATGCGCCCAGGAGGGGAGGGCGCATGTGTAACGACACTGCTAGAGATGCCTTTCGGGGCCCAGAGATAAAACTTCTGTGATGCCATGCGTGACCTAGTAGTGTCCCCAGCTATGGGCGTGTCCACGTTGGAGCCAGGTGTGGTGTGGGCGCGAGAATAGCTCCGCCGTTCATGGAGGCAACCGATGCGAGTCGACTGGTGTGTGTCGTCGTGGTTTCGTATCAAGAATTCTCTCTCTCTCCCTCGCGTCTCCACGTCTAACGACAGGAGCCCCACGGCATTCAAAGTGCAAGGCCCGGACGCCCGGTGCGCGTGGGTGAGCGGTGTGTGTGTGTGTGTGTGTGTGTGTGTGTGTGTGTGTGTGTGTGTGTGTGTGTGTGTGTGTGTGTGTGTGTGTGTGTGTGTGTGTGTGTGTGTCACGTCACTGCATCCTCTGCCGGTTCCTTCGTCGCCTCTTCTTTGTGCGGTGTTTTGTCGAGTTTTGCTTTTGGACGAATTTGGAGGAGGGACGTGGTGGGAGGGTAGAAGGAGTGAAGATGTCTGATCATCCTCAGGAGCAGGCACCCAACTTTGATTCGTAGAGGTGTCTCTCTACCCATAATGTATCACACCTCGAGACCAGATCTCCCATCTATCTGCACCGCCCCCCCACGCACGCCCCACCTCACGCGCACGCCCGAGCTACCAGGCAGACAGAGACACAGCTGCTTGTGACGCAGTGAGAAGCAGGAGACTGGCCAGCACTGGCCTCTGCGTTCTGCCGTGGTGGCCCTGGGACACCTTGCCTCATTGCCCTGCCCCCCACACCTCGATCTTCTTCGGCTGCTGCTGGTTCGACAAGTCCTCTCCGTGGCCTAGGCAGCGGTATGCGCCCTCGCCCCAGGTAAAGACAGCGCCGTCAGCGGTGATGGCGAGGCTGTGGTCGCATCCAGTCGACACAGCGACAACGCGCTGCTCAGCAAAGGCGTCGACCTGCTTCGGCTGCCACTGGTTCTGCTCGTCGCCGTGACCCAGCTTGCCACAGAAGCCATCGCCCCAGCTCAAGACCGCGCCGTCGGCGGTGACGGCGAGGCTGTGCGCGGGTCCGGCTGACACGGTGACGACGCGCCGCCCCGCCAGCGCCTCGATCTTCTTCGGCAGCAGCTGGTTCTGCTCGTCGCCGTGGCCCAACATGCCAAAGCCTCCAAGGCCCCAGCTCCAGACGGCGCCGTCGGCGGCGAGGGCGAGGCTGACGCCGCTTCCCGCCGACACAGCGACAACGCGCCGCCCAGCCAAGGCCTCGATCTTTTTCGGCAGCAGCTGGTTCTGCCCATGGGCCTCGCCGTACTGGTTCAACGTGTCGCCGTGGCCGAGCTGGCGAGAGCTTCCAGGGCCCCAGCTCCAGACACTGCCGTCGGCGGTGAGGGCGAGGCTGTGCAGGCCTCCAGCCGACACAGCGACGACGCGCCACCCAGCCAACGCCTCAACCTTCTTCGGCAGCAGCTGCTCCTCCTGGTTGCCGTGGCCTAACCAGCCATTGCCCCAGCTCCACGCAGCACCGTCGGCGGTGAGGGCGAGGTTGTGTTCGCCTCCCGCCGAAACAGAGACGACGCGCTGGCCTGCAAAGGCCTCGATCTTCTTGGGCTGCAGCTGGTTCTGCTGGTCGCCGTGGCCCAACTGGCCTTCCCCTCCACTGCCCCAGCTCCAGACAGTGCCGCCGGCGGTGAGGGCGAGGCTGTGCGCGTCTCCGGCCGACACGCTCACGGCGCGCTCACCCAGCGATGCAGGGAGGCGGGTCGGCGTGTTCAGCCGCGTCACGCCCTCACCTTGACCGAGCGGCCCTGGAAAGTCTGCCTCACTGCCGCACGACGAGAGCCGCCCCTCGCCGTCGATGAAGAGGCTGTGATACAGGCCTCCCGCCGCCCTCGCCGGAGGGTTGGCCTCGCGCAGCAGCGCCGAATAGCACAGCCACCGCACGGCGCAGCTCTCGTCCTCTGGCTGCGCCGGCAGCTCGAAGCCGCGCTCTTGCGCCCACAAGCGGATGCCCTCCACCGCAAGCGAGGCGTGGAAGAGCAGCGAGACGGCCGCGACGCGAGCGATGTCGAGGGGGCCGTCGAAGCGAGAGAAGACGCGCGCAAGGAGCTCCGTGGGGAGGTCGAGGAGGCGGGCGGGCGGCGGCGTGTCTGGCGAGCGGGCGGCGGTGGCGGCGGAGGCGAGGCGGCGCGAGCGGCGGCGCGGCGGGGCAGACATCGCGGGAAAAAGAGGAAAGATTTTTTCGCGCTTCTAGGTGGTAAAATTCTTTTGTGGGCGGCCAGGCAGAGATCGCAACGGCATTTGCCGACCTTAGACGGGCTTCGCGACGGGCACGCCCGTAGTGGTGGGGAGGGCTTGGGCCCTGACCGCCTGAGCCGCCTGGAAGGAGAAGATCGCGCATATGAGCTCGACAACGAAGGTGGCGATGTCGATGACGATGATTGGCCAGATTAGCACGCCGATGAAGGCGCTCGCGACACCGCCGAGGGCGTCGCAATCGACCCCATCTAGGTCTTGATCGCCATCGCAGTCATCGCTGACCTCATTCACCACGTTCGCCCAGAACAGGATGTACACGATCACAGCACTGGCGTGCACGGTGGCAGCGATGGCGATCAAGACACCAGCGCCAATGTGGCTCCCGGCCGAAGCGCTGGCGCCCGAGCCGGAGCAGCATAGCAGGACGCTGGCACCGATGACTGCGAGCAGGCCGCCGAGCCCACCCCACCACTGACCAGGCACGAGGAAGCCGAGGCACGAAATGATGCCAAAGACCAGCACGGCGATGGCGACGCCCTTCACCTTGTTCACCTCGGGCAGGGTATTCGGGTCGTTGCTACACCTGCACGAGTGACATCATCGTGGGGCAGCAACGGTATAGGACCACTACGTACCGCCGCTATGGCTGAGCGAGGCGGCGAGTACGGTTGGCGTTCCGTTGCATGGAGCGAATATTGAGTGAGCGGAGCGAAGAGTGCGTATGCGAGGAGAGGTGGATGTGCCAGTGTGGTGGCGGCGCGCGCAGGCGCGATGGGCGCACATGGAAATAGAGGCTGTGCGAGACGCGTTTGGCAAGGCGATTGAGCAAGGCGATGGCGTTTCGCGTCCGGGAAAAAATCACGGAAGCAGGCTTCGCGCGATCAGACTGACGTTTATTAAAATCCCTGTGTGGTGGCGGCGTGCCGTCCTCCCATCCCTCCCTTGGGTTGTCTGTTTTCTTTCTTTCTTTCAGACTGACGTTTGCTGCCGCGACGGCCCCCTGAAGAGGCTCATTTCCAACCTCGAGACCTCGAGAGATTCAGTCACCCGCACGTACCAATAGGTCTGTCATTGCAATCGTTCTCTTGTCGTCGGTTCATCCGACTCACGGGGTGTTTCCGCGTTCCCCGTTACTCCCCGTAGTCCCACTATAAGATACTATAGAGCCGACTACTGCGGCGGTTGTTTTCTGTACATATAGAGCCGGCTACTCTAACGCCTGTAGTACGCAACGCGGAAGTTCCATTTTGTTTAAATTCTAGAAATGGAAGTTCGTTCTCGAAAAGGCAGGTGGTCTGTCACAATGGTCCTCCGACGAGACGCGGAGCGCTCGGCGGCCATCTGCGTCGTTGGCCATGTGCGTACCTTTACTTTACCTGAAGTGCACGCGTCCATCAGGAGCAACGTGCTCGACGTGTATCGAAAGCGGACAGTGGCAGCAATCCTTTTCCGCCGCAACGTCGGTAAGAAAACTGATTTGAAGCACGGCCGTGAGCTGGTCAATGTGCAGTGCAGCGGCAGCCTCCATCATGCGCTGCACACCCTCGACATTCCGCGAGACCGCATCGCGCTGATGGATGAGAGCACATGCCACACTTACCAGCAGTATGTGCGTGTGTCGTCGGGTGCAGCAGCATCTGCGACGAGAGAACAGTGCCGTCCTGAGGCGTGGCTGCAGATGGCGTGGGTGCGGTCTTGCTTCGCCTCACTGCCGCCATCCGACGTGTACATGCGCGTGCGGCCGGACATGTTCTTCGCGGCGCCAGTGCCGCGTGTCGTCGAGGCGGCCGCGCCTCGACTGGTCGCGCCTCTCAAATTCGGCCGCTTCAATGACCAGTTCTTCGCCATGTCCCGCGCGCTCTACAACAGCTGGTTTGTCAAGTGGCGGCCCGGCGGCTGCTGCCCCGAGTTCGAGCTTCCGCCGGACGCCCTAAAGGCGCTCGAGCTCGTTAGCCTCAAGGCATGCCTGGCGCGAACGCCCGACACGCTCGCGTGCTGGGACGCTCCCGCGCCGGTGGTGGCAGCCTACCATGCCAGCGGAGCGCGGCGGCGCCAGCAGCAGGGCGCCAGCGCGGCACCCCCGAGTCGTCTCTACATCTGCAACGCCACCGCAGCAGCTTGCGAGGCACGTCCGATTCGCGTGTGCTTTGGCTAAGCTGAGCGCATGATTGTACTGTAAAGTAAGATCATAAACATTCACCCTTTCCGACTTCCGAGCTGCACGGCGTTCAGCGTTCACGGCTGTGTAGTGTGTACGGCTGTCGGCGGGTGAATGTTCAAGCTGTAGAGCCGTCTCCTCGACCTCGAGCAGCAGGTAGGCGAGGCACGAGTTGATCGGCACGACTGCTCCAGCGCAAGGCGATTATTGCCTGTCCCTCTTTTGGTGCCTGTGTCGAACCTGTGTGCTGTGCTGGAGAGTCTTTTTTGTTGAATTCTTATTTCGAGCCTGTCTGCTGTGAGATTGTTTTGTTTAATTTCTTATTTGTTGTAAAATTCTTGTCGAGGCCAGAGGGTCTGGGTGCACGCGGGGCGGCCGCGGAGGCGGCGTTTAGGCGGCTCTCGATCGAGGAGCGTGACGAGGTGGTTGCGGCGCTCGTGGCGGAGTTCAAGGCGGGGGAGCGGAAGGAGTTGTGCGGCTGGCATGCTGGGCGTGGGGTCCCAACCGGGCGTGGTCTGCTCCGTTCCCAGGGTGGGAGGATTGGGTGAGGGAGGGGCGGCTGCTCCTCTGGGAGGAGGACCTGGAGGAGTTGCGGAGCGGTGCTGGCGGTGGGCCCGCCTTCGCACCGCCCTCCTCGCTTCGCTCGCGCGCATCCGCCTCCTCCTCTAGCTCGCCCCGCGTGCCTAAACACAATGCAGAGGGGCAGCGTACACTCTGAAGGTCTATCTCTGCAGCGCGTGTAACCATCAATGCGGCGGCGCTGTCCCCGAGTCCCCCAGAGGCATCTAACCCTGCGTGCCGCGCTCCGCCAGCGGCGCCAGCCCACCCGGAGGGGGCTTGCTCGCCGCGGACATCCTCCTCGCCGGCCGTGGCGGCGCCTCGACTGCTGCTGCCGTAGATGCCAGGAGGCAATGTGAGCCCTCGCTGCTGGCATCACCACCCTCCTGCGGTGTCCCTTGTTCAGCGCCGACGCCAGCAGGAGTGGCAGTGGCGACGGGAGACGCGCCCGCAATCTCGCCGGCAGTGTCGTCGCCGTCGACAGGGCCACCGTTGTCGCCTCCGTCCTCGCCGCCGCCAGCTTTGCCCCTGTCCTTGCTGTCACCGCCATCACCGTCGCCGCCACAGTTTCCGCCACCGCAGCGCAAACGCTCCGACGCGGCCGGCGCCCCTTCCTTTCCCTTTTCTTTTGAGAGCAGGACGCCGGGTTTGTCTTGTATGTGCGTGTCGGGCCGGGGTATGGGCGAGGGGCGGAAGGGGCGGGGGCGTGCGGGGCAGAGTGCGTGTCGGGCCGGGGTGTGAGCGAGGGGCGGGGGCGTGCGGGGCAGAGGCCCAACGTCGGGCGGCTTGTCGGGGTCCGGAGCATTCGAGGGGGGAACGAGGAGGGGGGAATGGGCGGTCGGCGACGAGTAGAGCGGCAGGCGCGTACGGGGTAGCCGTCACTTTCCTGCCTCACAAGGGCGGGGCTGTCCCGGAAAGTGAGAGACGCCGGGCAGCGTGGCGCATTACTGAACCCTCCCATACGTGCTCGTGCTCCTCCTTCGCTGTCCCATCTCCCCACCTCTTTCCCGCCTGGGCGGGGCGGTGGGCGGGCGCGCGGTGCGGCGTGGCGTGTGCGTGTGTGCGACTGCAACGAAGGACCGCTCGCAGAGGACCATTGGGTTTGTACTATTAACAAAGAAGGCGCTCTCAAAAACAAATTTGGCGCGCGTGCGCGCAAGGTATGCTAGTGCCACAAAACAATCACGCGGTTCACGCCTGCCTGTCGACGCGGGCACCAACAACTCCCAAGAACTGGACAGCCATGGGCCGCAAGGACTACTCCGACTCCGAGTCTCCGCCGCGCGACCGCAAGGAGAAGAAGGAGAAGAAGTCCAAGAAAGAGAAGCGCTACAGCGACTCGGAGTCTCCGCCGCGGCGCAAGAAGGAGAAGCGCTCCTCCCGCCGCGACGACTCGCGGTCGAGGTCGCGCGACCGCCGCCGCGACCGCTCGCGCGACCGCGATCGCCGCGACGACTCGCGCGGCCGCGGCGGCTACGGCGGCGACCGTGGCGGGTACGGCGACCGCGGTGACCGCGGCGGCGGGTACGGCGGCGGGTATGGCGGCCCGCCCCGCGGTGAAGTCTGCCGCGACTTCCTCCGCGGCATGTGCCAGCGCCAAAACTGCCGCTTCCTGCACGAGGCGCCGTGGCGCACAGCACCGCCGCACGTCTAGCTCCGATCCCCGCTTTCAACACCCTCTGCCTCCGCCCCCTCTCGACTCCGTCTCCCGCACACACCTCACCCCGTCGC